ACGGGTTTCCCCTTTCCCCCTCTCCTTCCTGAGTAAGAGATGTTTTCTCCATTACGTTCCTGTTAGCTGCTCTCTTCCCTGCTCACCGTGGTGTTCACAGCTGAGTCTAGGCACCTGGGCCTTGCTTCGTAGCTCGCACTGGAGCAAATTAAAAACGTCTGTCGGGGCAGCAAATGGGGGTGGCTAATGAACTGAGGATGTGACACCCTGCGGTCACAGCACTTGGCATTTATAGTTTTTCAGGAACAGGCAACAAACAAGTATTCTTAATTGTCAGCTTATTAAATATCAAAACCGGTGTAGTAGCTAAAAGCTTGGAATTGTTTCCTGAAGAACAGCTTCCAAAGCTGTTGACCAGTCTTTGTAAGTTGCCTTATCTGTGTTCTTAGTGTGGGCCTCGATTCTAAGCCCATAAATCACCCTGTCGTACCAAGCTGGCTCCTCCTGCATCCTCTGTGTGTATTACCTGGCTTCAGACAGAACACTAATGTTTATCAAGGGCTGACTATGTGCCAGGCCAGGGACTGTGGGGCAAGCATTGGTGGGGGTGTAGGGAGCTGCCCTGGTCACTTTGCCTTTTGCCTTTAGTCTCCCTTATCTGGTCCAGTCTGAGCACTCATCAGCGATGGAGTCGCTGGGTCGCTCAGTTCCCACCAAGACCATTAGTAGAACACATTTCTTAGTCTGGTGGTTAGTGCCTTCTGCCACCTGTCTGTCTGCCTCTTCCCCCACAATACCCCCAAGGTCTGGATGCTGGGGACAGATCATACCTGAAGATGCCACTTCCTGTGAGCTTTCCCCTGTCTGCCTCATGTACCCCCTTGTAGAGGATACTTTCATGTTGTTTATTAGGGCAGGAATCTTCGCAGGAATGGTGAAATAACCATTTCAATGTGTGTCAGATGCTGTGCAGAGCACTGGATATGTGTCATCACTCAGAGCCCCCATACCAACCCTTTCCAGGAAGTTTTATTCCAACACTTCATATATAGCTCAGGGAAATGAGGCCCAGGAAGGTTTAGAAGCTTACCTAAGGTCACACAGCTGCAAAATTGCACAGATTTGAACACACATCTGTGCAACTCCCAAAGCCCGTTCTGTTAACCACCCTTCTACCCCACATAAGCCCAGGTTGGCCCATGGAAGCCTGTATCTAGGATGGCAAAGTCTCAAGCAGCAGCTCTGATAGACGAGTGTTCCATGTCTGCCTGCAGCCAGGGTGGGAGAGGGTGCAGTGACAGGTGATCAGTTTGCCGTGCGTGTGTGTGTGATGACTGGTCGGGGCGTGTGTGACATTGAGATCCATTTTGTTCTTATCACAGCAGAAATTATATGTGTATATTAGCTTTCAGTTGCTGCTGTAATAAGTTACCACAAATTTAGTGGCTTAAACAGCACAAATTTATTATCTTAAAGTGTTGGAAGTCAGAATTCCAAAATGAGTATTGTGGGGCTGAATTCAAGGCTTCAGCAGGACTGGCTCCTCCTGGGGGCTCTAGGGAGAATGCATTTCTTGCCTTTTCCAATATCTAGAGGCTGCCTGCATTCCTTGGCTCATTAGCCCCTTCTCCCTCTGTCTTCAAAACCAGTAGCATAGCACCTTTAAATCAATGTCTGTCTGTCTGTCTCTGCCTTCTGCTTCCATTATCACATCTCCTTCTCACACTGCCTTCCTGTCTCCCTTGTATAAGGACCTTTGTGATTACCTTGAGCCCACCTGGATAATCCAGAATAATCTCCTGAACTCAGGAGCCTTAAAATTAGTAACATCTGCACAGTTCTTTTTGCTGTGTAAAATGGCATTTATGGGTTCTAGGGATTGTGATGTGGGCATGCTTGGGGGTGCTGTAAAGGAAGCAGTAGTGCTGTGGGCTAGCCTGGGTACACCGTTTCTCAGGCTTCTGAGGGTTCAGGAGCAGGGCCAACGTTATTTGGGTGTGAGCTGAGGACAGTCTAGTCACCCTCAGTCTGATGCATGCACTGAGGAGCCAGACCCTCTGTGGCTTCCAAGAGTGAAAGGTCTTCACAGTGCACACAAGAGCTGGTACCTGTGATGGTATCTCTTGCTTCCAAGCTCCATAACCAGGCTTGGATGGTCATAGGGTCTTTTGGTACCTGGTTTTCTGTGGAATTAGAATTACCATTTTATGTCTACATCAGCAGATGGGCCATGCCAGTGGAATTGCTGTGCCCCCGTCAAGTGAGTATACATCAGGCAGGCTGATATGTCAGGAGCACAGTGTGATAGGGGCTAGGCTGAGGTGGGAAGGCCATGGGGGAGCTACGAAGGGCAGAATGCCCTTCCAGAATGGGAATATGGAAGTGCTTGAGAACCGGCTGCAGTGCAGTGCCCAGAGGGGTTCGGAAGAGGGTAGGAAGGAGCAACACACCAAGGGTGGTTCAGGAGGCACAGGAAGCCTGTGGCGGGCTTGGAGCTAAGGAATGAGGGCAGATTTGCACATTAGGAGATCACCTTGGTGGCCAGAGTCCCTTGAGGTCAGGACCCAGGTCTGGTTCAGGACCAAGAGCCCAGCTCATCAGGGACAAGGTGGGATGCCCAGTGGGTAGTGAAGGATGCCACATGCGAGCCCCGCCATCCTCTGAGGCCGGTTCATTTGGAACAGCCCCACGCACATCACAGAGACCTTACGTGGAGGAATTTAGGCCCTAGTATGAACGATATAGCACATTTCACTGTCTTGGGCTCCTTTCCACAAAGCATTGCTCATTGCAAGCGCTTAATGATCTGTTAAAAACATGTTGCAATAGAATTCCAGGGAGGGCAAGAAAAAAATGAAAAGCTGACAAAGTCCTACAAGTAAGGTGATTGGTCACCAGAGTGCTATGTACCGTGGAGCAGGCTGTTAAACAGAACGCATTTCCCTTTTGAAAAGTGCTGCTCCTGCGTGGCTTCACGAGGTCCTCCTTACAGCCTTCCCAGGGGGGAGTTGTGCAAACTGTCTGTGTAAAAAAATAGTTGAGGAGGCCTGGGCCCACTGGGGTGAAGTGGTTTGTCTTTGGTATCAGCTGGAGGCACTTACCTTGGCCTCTGGATAGCATTTTTGTTTCCCTCCCATGACGCTCCCTTTCCCTCTCCATCCTAGCTCGGTTATTTCCCTCTTTTAAGCTCCTGGTGTGGGTCACCCTTACCTGTGGGTCATCCTCACCGAGGCTCTGACTGTGGCGTTTCACATACCGTGTGCTTCTTTGTGGCCGGCTCTTTCCCCCTCTTCATATACCTTGTGTGCCATCCACACCGAGAGTTCTCGGAGGGTCGGGTGTGGTTTGAGATTTGTCTGTGTGCCCTGCATGTGACCCACGTACCTAGTTACTCTTCTTTGAGCTGCTTCGCCCCTGAGGGCAGGGACAGTGGCTGCTCTGCTCACCGCCATCCGTAGCATCATGTCCAGCTCATAATAGACGCTGAGTTAATTTATGTCCTCAGGGTTTGCACGGGAGGAGCAGGGTGCAGTTTGGGTTCTTGGACATTGCTGAAGGGCTGTGGGGACGGCACTGTCTCCTGGTCTCCTGCCTGGTTCTGTCGCTCTGGTCTTGGCCACCTGGAAGTCGGGCGTCCTCTAGTTGCACAGACTGGCCTCGTCTCTAAGCAGTTACGGCAGAGCCTAGGCTTTTAATAAGGTAACCGCGCCTTCCAAAGTGTTTCGGGTCAGGTGAGAGATTCTGGAACCTTGTGTATGTGGGGGAAGGGAGGGTGGAAGAGGGAAGCCGGAGAAGGAGGGCGACAGGAGGAAGGGGAGCCCCAGGAGACCCTGGGCTGGCGCGTCATGTTGATTTAGATTCTCTGTGACGGCTTCCCCCTCGTTGTAATTAGAATGGCGTGTACGTGTGTCCCGCCTGTCCCTTTCTGCACAGCTGTGCTCTCTTTCCCAAGGCCCACGTCTGTCTGAGCTCAGGGATACAGTTTCAGCGGGCGTGCTGGCTGCAGGGGAGCCGCGTGAGCACGCCTGCAGCCTGTGGACGTGCTGGGCTTGTGGTCTGAGACCCGGGGCTCCGTCAGGAGTGTTCTGCACTCTGTGTCTTGGTGTAACAATTGCCCATTAAATACCGGGCTGCCAGCATATGGTTTTCCCCAACGTCCCCCTTATTGAGTGGAAACTTCAGCTGTGTGGTTAGAATATTTTCCCATCATTTTAGCATTTCAGAATTAACATATTTTGGAGAATTCTGCAGTTAATGCCGAGTGGCACATTTGCAGATTGTTACAGAAACAGTTAAGCCAGAGTCGGTGGATCTGTAGCTAACTCTTTCCCGTGACGGATAAATGGTGGGTTAGGAACAGGCAGGGCCAAGGGGAGGATTCCGGGGCTCCCCCTGCGGATGCTGTAATTAAAGTGGGAAGTCTGGTGGAGTTGTTCTCCCTGCTGTTAAGAATGCAGATGGCTAACAGCCACATCACCGAGAGCTGGAGTTAGACCTTTTAAAGTCTTCTTTCTTTTTCTTTTATGACCCACCCTTTATATTCCAAGCAAAGGTATAGATGCAGCAGTGAAGAATTTTCTCATTAAAAGTAACAGCTTGTCCCCACACTCATTCCTGGTCTTGGAATGAGAAACCTGTGTCCTTAGACTTGAGGAATTGCCTATCTGTCGTGGTTTAATAGAGCTTTTGGACCAGAGTGTCTGGTAGGTGAATTTATAACCAATCAGTGCTCAAAGCAGGTCCAACTGGTAGAGCTCCAGCTGGCAACTCATGTCTCTCTCCCAGTTTTACTGTTAATGAATTATTATTGAAGCCCCAAGCAGAGAGCAGTCTTCTCCCATTGTCTTAGAGGAAGTGAGTGCTCATCACCTCTGGGGCCTGGCAGTTAGGAATCTCCTGGGCTGGAGGGAGATTGGCAGCCAGCAGGGCCCGGTCAGGTGGAAAGAGTGAGGACATCGCTCAGTGACTGGCATGACCCTGGGCCTCTGCGGCCATGTGTGCGTTTTGACTCCACTGGGATCTGTGCTGGAAAAGCAGATTGGCTTCACTCCTCATCATGTTTTCTTGTTTTCCAACAGGGAGTGGGGCCAGCTAGCAGAACCAGTGGGCTGCACAACATCACCTTCAGATATGACAGTAAGTAACTGGCTTGACCTCGGAGGAATGGGGCCCTTTGAGTGATCTAAAACTTACACAGTCCTGCTTAATCAAGAGCACTGCGGGGCCTGGGGTTAAGGAATGTTCTGAACCTGCTCAGGTTTGTCAACAAAGCTAGGGCGACTCAGTCTCTATTAAGCCACTCAGGAATTTGGGACAGGTCAAGTGGCCTCCGTAGTGTTTAGAGCTGTGTATGGAGACCTCCCCTGATTTCCTCAGGGCATAGCCATGTCCTTAAGAACAAATGCAGCTGTCTGTAGGGCCCAGCAGGGGTCACATGAGCAAAGCTACCCAAGTGCAGGATTCTAGGGAGTGGTAGGGACTGTGTCACACCAGAGAGCCATGTCTGGTTAGAGAGGAGCACTGGCTCCTCCATTCTAGCTGCTTGTGGCCTGGAGGAATTCCCCCTGAGTATAGCCAGAAATGATTTCCAAGAAGAGTGGGAGATTTGCATTTTTTGTATGAACATTTTTTAATACTGGCATTTATTTAAAAATTTCCAGAAACACAGAGTGGGCCAAGTGAATCTGTTCCAGATTGGCCTAGAGGCCTTTGGTTGGCTGTCTCTAACTCAGGCCTGGGTTCCAACCCTAGTTCCCCACTTATCAGCTGTGAACTGTGGCAGGTGATTTGACTTCTCCAAGCCTCAGTTTTCTCATTATAAAACAAAGATTAATTTCTTCCTCAGTATCTTTTTTTTTTTTTTGGCACATGAGTATAGTAGTTTAATGCATGTAAAGTGCAAAGATTAGCAAAACCAATTTAAGGTGTTCCTCAGCATCATTTTGAAGTTTAAACAGGGTAATGCTTATAACTGCTTGCCTCTGTAGTTGGCCTGTGCTCAGTAATTAATATCTATTAATATTAGAAGTTATTCCAAGTGGAGTTGTGATGCTAGCACCTCTTTGGCCCTTTGTGACTTTTTCTGGCTGAATTGTTTCCTAAGGGTAAGGTGGGGGTGCTTTTTCTGATTAAGCTTATACAACCTCCTCTTGAACTTTCATGCCCAAGAAGGTAATTAGATAGAATTGTGAGCATTTTAGCCTTATGAGCCATAGTTTGCAAGTAAAAATGACAAGAAGGAGCTTGATTCATATTTAGTGACCCCTGACATGTGATGAGTCCATGTAATAAGTAAGGGGTGTAGGTCACAGGCCTCTGGAATGATCACTACTAAAGCAGGGCTTTCCAGGGGGATGTATACACTCTAACAATTTTTAGACACAAGTATGTATGTCAAATTCATGCCCATAGTTACTGTGGGGGTCTTTAAGTTAACCAAGGACTTACAGATGAAACAGTCATTCCATGTGAGCAGGGGTGTGCATGTTCCTGGTAAATGTTGTGATTCTAAAGAAGGATTTGCAAATCCATGATACTTAATTCAGCTAAGTGAAGACATGTGTAAGGGATCTTTCTTTGAGTTAGAAACTTAATTTCTAATATATGTTCTCTGTCCTGGCAGATCTTGTATTACATTCAAGAGTTCAGAATTTTCCGGTCAGCTGCAAACAAGTATTTGCATCTCTAATTTAATAGGAGGATTTGTGAAAGAGGATCTCTACCTGTGAAACTTAAAAGTATCATATTGTTTTCTTCATGGGACTAGATATTTGGCCAATGCCTCTCTCTCGGTCATTATTTTCTTTCTAATTCTTCAGCATTTAATTAGAATTTAATTTACAACTCGAATCGACTCCTGAGACATCTAAAGTTCAGTTGCATTTTGGCAAAATGTCATTCGGGCATAATTTTTTTATAACGAAAATCCAAAACATTAGAGTTGCTAATAATTGGATCCAGGCTGCGTAGAGTACATTGTCTTCCGTTGAGAAAAATACTTCTCTCTTCCATAAGGAAGATCCTGTTACTGCTTAGTGGACTGGTTACTAGTTCTGTGAAACAGTTAAGAACCAATTACCAGGTTTTAAACTACAAAATCTTACTTTTCTATTCCTTTGTCATTTAATGTTATAAAGAAAGAAAATATCTTGCCATTAAGTCAAAACCAAATTTCACAGGTCTCCTCGCCTCCTTTCACGTTGCATTTCTCATTTCTTCTTCAGGCTCTGAGGCGGTAATGCTTGAGTAGGTTATAATACATTTCCTTAATTCTTAGACTTTTTATTTGCATAATTGTATTTGCAGAAAGCTGGAGAGTGCTAATTTTGGCATTAGGGATGAACAAAGGAAACAGCCATGATTTTCTCTTGTTCATGCATCTTTTCCTAAAGCTGTTGAAGTCAGAGGTTTCTCTTTCATTATAGACCTTAATGAATGAAAATGTTTGAACTTTACAGGGGTGATGGGATCTTGTCATTTTTTTATGCTGGGAATCTGGGCTCAGCCAGGATTTTTGCAGGCTGAATACTTCTGATTCAGAACTCATTTGCGTAATAAACTATGCTGAGGGTGGAATGGCAAGAGCCCTGCATGAGCACTTGAGGCTGCTTTCTGTCCTGGCCCTGGGCTGGTCAGCAGTGGAATCCTACGCCACCCAGCAGTTTCCTCATTTGTACAATGCGGATATTGAACCAGATATTTAAATTTTTTTTTCCTATTCTAAAATTCTCTTTGCACCCAGAGAACACATATTGAATGCTTTGAGAGTGAATTTTCATCAGAAATGGAATTCAGTTTTATTGATTATTAATATCTTTTCAGAAGAAGTAATATTGAAATGTAGGGGGCTGGGTTCGGGTTTTTTTTTTTTTAATGTTTTTATTGACTTCAGAGAGAGGAAGGGAGAGGGAGAGCGAGAGAAACATCAATGATGAGAGTCATTGATCGGCTGCCTCCTGCATACCCCCTACTGGGGATCGAGGCGGAAACCCAGGCGTGTCCCCTGACCGGGAATCGAACCGTGGCCTCCTGGTTCATAAGTCGACGCTCAACCACTGAGCCACGCCGGCCAGGCTAGAGGGCTGTTTTTGAAGCAGATGGGAGAATACCCAATGTGGTCCCACAAGAAAGCAGGACATAAAGCAGTGTGGAGTTGTAAAACAGAGGGGTGGGTTTTAGTGCACGTGTGTTGTACTTTAATAAGAAAATTTAAGAGGAGGAATATTGCCTGCATGTTAGAAGGCTTAGACAGCTGTCCATTAGAGGTTAGAAGTTACCTCTGTGGTGGGGAGTTCTGGGTGACTTACATTCTTCTAATATTTTCTTTAAATATCCAGGGAACATTTTTAGTCCTAAAAATGGCAATTGTGTGGCACAGCTTTGGGGAGGGGCAGCGAGAGGGGGAGGGCCGCAGGCTCAGCGAGCTTCTCAGAAAACACGCCTGTGAATGTGTCACCGCAAAGGAGAGCACCCTGACCTCAGAGGGGTGGCGGGTAGCTTGACGGAATTGAAGACCTTTTGCAGCAGACACTTTTCAAGCTTAACTGCTGAGAAAGACACAGAGATGAAGCAGCGTAAGAATGATGGGTCGCGTCTGCCAGGGGTGGCTGCTGGTTCTCCCCGCACGAGTGGCCGGAAGGGCCTGCGGCCATTCTCAGGAATCCCAGCCCCCGTCTGGCTGGAAGCTTCTGGCAGCTCTTTAGGATCTTGCAGGCTTTGAAGGTGTATTTAGCAAAACCAGGTGGCACAGCTGCTCCCACAGTCACGGCTGCATTGACAGGTGGCGGTGAATGCTGTCCTCAGACAGTCAAATAATCCGGGGGCTTTTTTGGTTTGTTTTCAGCAGTGTGGACTCTGGATTTGGTGGTGCTGTGGTGTCTCTGATGACACATGGTGTATGGGAACAAAAATTTTACCTTTTTTGATGCTAGTTAACATTTGAAGGTGCTTTACTTATCACTAAGTCGGTCAGTATCTTTTGCAGCTGCTGACTGGATTGTTAACAGTCTTTCCTCTCCTGTACGTTCATGTCTTCATTTTATTTTCGTCTCCCCAGACACCAGCCCTCTAGGTTTCTTCTGAAAACAAGCAAACCCAGATCACTTAGCCATTGTTTTGTTTCAAATCAGTAGCTCTAATGCTGAAAACCGAATTGATGTAAATAATTATTGATTTGGGTCAAATGTCCTAATAATAAAAAAGTTTGTGCCACATGCACACACAAACTCCAGCTCGTATAGGATCCTTCTTCTAACCTTGTCCTGGAATTTAACTCAAGGGGTGGAGGGTAGGGGTGGTGCTATAAATAAATCCCACTGCAGCATCTTATAGTTTTCCAAACAGTCAGCCTTTGATGCCGTATTTGGGCTTTTGAGGCACACAGAATGGATTTGGCCACCTGCAGACATGCTCTGTGTAATTTGAGAAGATGAACTTAGAAATAAAAAATAAAATTTTAAATGTGACTGTTCTTGTTATCCCACCTTTCTAGATTGTACCACATACTTGAATCCAGTGGGGAAGCATGTGATTGCTGATGCCCAGAACATCACCATCAGTCAGTATGCGTGCCACGACCAAGTGGCAGTCACCATTCTTTGGTCCCCAGGGGCCCTTGGTAAGTGGTCAAAATGGAGTCCACCGTGGTGGCCTGGGTGGGTAGTGCCCAGTGCAGGGGTCCCAAACCTGACGGCCTCCAGGGACCAGCCAGGTTTTGACGTGAGAGTAGCTTTCGTTGGCTTGGGCACAGATACACCTCCTACTTTTATGCATCCTCATGCTGGGCATGCTCACGGCTTGCTGCCGTGCCCTGTGGCTCCTCTTTTGCTCCCTTGGCTGTTATTGAGAGAGATGTGGGTTTGAAACATACTAGTGTGTGAGTGATAGATGGCACAGGCCTTGCTTGGCCTCTGTGTCTCAGCCGAAGTGGGAGGATGGGTGGCCCGTCCAAGGACGTGAATGCTTCGGCATCCAGCATTAATGGTCTCTAGCCACACAGAGATGTGCAGGCCCAGCATTGGCACATTTTGTGAGTTTTCAGGAAAATCCCAGTTTTCATGGGAAACCATGAAACCAACAATTTTTAAATGTTGGCAACTTATTGAATTTTTATTTGAACTTTGTGGGCCAGAAAAACCAAACTAAAACAAAGAAACAGAAAAAGCAAACCCACATTATCTGGCCTGATTCAGGTTAGGGCCATGTCTGCTTGTCCTCTTCAGTGAATTGACAATACACAGGAGAAGATCCATAGCTGAGTATGGGACATGGGGAGGACCCATTTCTTCAGATGGGCCTGGGTTTGAACCCAGAATCACAAGAGGTCTTCAGTCCTCACTGAGCCCCAGCTTCCCCATCTATAAAGTGCAGATGACTGACGTTGGGCTTGTTGTAAGAATTAGAGACACACACACACAATACATTTTTATTTATTTATTTTTATTTATATTTTTAAAGTATTATTTTTTTAAATATGTCTTTATTAGATTTCAGAGAGAAGAAGGGAGAGGGGGAGAGGGAGATAGAAACATCAATGAGAGATTCATTGATCGGCTGCCTCCTGCACGCCCCCTACTGGGGATTGAGCCCGCAACCTTGGCATGTGCCCTGACCGGGAATCGAACCTCGATCTCCTGTATCCTAGGTCGTTGCTCAACTGCTGAGTCACGCCAGCGGGGCACACACAGTACATTTTTAGAGAGAGCTCTTAAAAAACTGTGGCTATTGTTATCATCATCAGAACCTGGTCCTTTGACATTGCCACCCAGTCTTAGGATTTAAAAAAAAAAAATGGCCAAGGGAAAAGTAAAATAAAATCTGAATGGGATAAATCTCATAAGAACCAGATCGCAGGAGAGGTGAGTGCAGAGAGAGGGAGGGTGAGTCAGACCCGTGAGCCTGACTCACTTATCCACGTAAATACTGCTGGGTCTGAACCCAATGGGTTTCCAAAAATAACATTATCTTAACATTTACAGATACAAACATTCTCTGTGGATAAAAGGGAAGTGGTCGTTCCATGTAAGGCTAAATAGCTGAGGGGTTGGCCTGATGAATTGCAGGCTCCCTCTTTAGAATGAAAGTAAGAGACGTGAGCTGGTGGTAGGAAAACCAGCATGTGGAACAGTGAGGCAGAAGGTTGTGCTTTACATGATGATTTGGCCAGTGGGGGTGTGTGTGTGTCACTGGACAGGTTCTATCAGTTTCTGTGGGGTCCTGTCAAGGAAGTTCTTTGGAAGCCAGAAAAGCCTATGGGTTAAGAGCATTCTGGGTTTGAATCCCACCTCTGCCGTTTAATTCTGGTGTGACCCTGAGCAAGTCATTTAGTGTCTCTGCACCTCAGTTTCTCCATCCATAGAATGGGGATGATAATACCTTCTTTCTGTGGTTGTTAGGGGGATTTAATGGCTTAAGTGACCGGAAGGGGTAGATAAGTTCCTTTATGGGAAGCTGCCCTATAAAATTGCTAAACATTCTTTCACTACAAGGTGCCAATAGTACTATGATTTAAGATTTATATTTGCTGTCCTTTCCCCCACTCCCAGACTGGGCAGGTCTTTTTAAAAATAAGGACTTGAGCCCTGGCTGTTGTGGCTTGGTTGGAGCGTTGTCCTGCACACCAACAACACTGTGGTTGTGGGTTCAATTCCCAGTCAGAGCACATACCTAGGTTGTGGGTTTGATCCCCGGTTGGGGCACATATGAGAGGCAGCCAGTCGATTTTTCTCTCTCTCATCATGTTCCTCCCTGTCCCGCCTTCTCTCTCTCTCTCTCTCTCTCTCTCCCTTCCCCCATCTCTAAAGTCAATTAAAAATAATAATAATGACTAGAACCATCCACCCCCACCCCAGCTGATGAATTTTTATGTAATTGTGAGATGAACAGTCATATTAATCACCTGGCTTTTGTTAAAACAGTAGTTCTGGGGGCATTGCATGAATTAAATCTCAGTATAAAATATAAGAATTCGTTTTAAAAACTTTGGGGGAAGAGGAATCTCAAAAGGTGAGTTTTGTGAGATCTACTAAAGAGTTGTGAGAACTTGTCAGCATGTTTGAATCTCAGGCTGTTGGTCGGCGGCTGTCACCCCCACAGGAAGCTTCGTGCGAGAAGTCCAGCCGAGCCTCTGCCTGCACATGCTGCATACAGACCCCCTGAAACGTGAAGCTCTGCTTGTAGCTCCTTTGCCCTGCCCACCATAAAATATGTGTTCTTCATCAGATAGCTACAGGACTGGAGAACCTATTCAAAAGAGAAAAAGATTTCCCTGGCCTTTGCCATCCATAATTTTCCCACCTGGTTAATTGCATCCTGTGTAATTACTCTGGCCCTGGGAGGGGAAGGGTTGAAACCGTCTACTTGTCTAGCGCTCAGAAAGAATGCGAAATCGATATCGTGCCAATTGAGGCCGGCTTGGGGGATCTCCAGCTGCAGTTGGACCACTCCAGTCTCCATGGGATACAGAGCCTGGTGCTGGCTCTTGTGGACACCAGAGCTTAATCCTTTTGAAAGCATCTAGTCCGAAGTGCAGCGGGGGAAGCTCAGGTGGCGGGAGGCCGGGCCGGCGCCTTTCAGCGGCTCTGTGGGCGTCTGGGGCCTCTGAGTGCTGTGTGAGGAGCACACACTGGGCAGCTCTTGGGTGTCTGCCTTTCAGGCATGATTAGAGCAAGTACCGCTTTGTAAATCACATAGCCATTCTCCCAAGCTATTTAATCTCAAGCCTAGGAACTCCTTGGGTGCAGGCACACACTTTGTTGGGAATTTTGCACGTTGCTCATTGAAACATGCCAGCAAATATAGGGCTAAAACTTAAAGTGGAAACATGGTTTGGGGAGAGTCCCTAGTCAGCCTGGGGATTTATCAATTGAATACACCCTGTTTAATGACCTAGGAGTTATGTATCCCACTGCAGACTTTTTATGATCAATTGTGACTTGAGTCTCAATATTTGAACCCTAATGTCATGGAGGCAGTGGGCATTTGTGGAATGGCTGGCTGGATTAGAGACTAATTCATTAGTAATAGTGTGACAGAGGAAATCACCTGGTCTGTATCAGAGGAATGCAGAGTATGTGTTTTTCCTTTCTATAAACTCAGATATTCTGGCCAGAGTAAGAATTCCTTTAACTGCTGTGTAGGTGGAGAGGACAATAATCCCGGAGGAAGGAAAGTGTGTTCCAAAGTAATTAGGCCCACTTTTAATAAAAGCATTCTGCTTTGCTTAGGCATCGAATTCCTAAAAGGATTCCGGGTAATACTGGAGGAGCTGAAGTCAGAGGGAAGACAGTGCCAACAACTGATTCTAAAGGACCCGAAGCAGCTCAACAGTAGCTTCAAAAGAACTGTAAGTCACACACGGGAATGTGCTCCTGAAGACAGGCCATTGTTCCGGGGGCTGAATGGTCTATTCAGAGTCTGTGAAACTGGAGAAGGAGGGGCCGTGGGGTCCACCCCACCTGCCAAGGTGGGCGAGATGGCGGGCAGTGCTGCCAGCCTGCCCCACGCTCCCTGAGAAACCCTCCAGCACCTCTCGCTGGTAAACACGCCTCTCGGGTTACGCGCTGGAGCAGCCGTCCTGGAAGGTGGCTCTGTATGTGGGCTCCTCCCCACCACCCTCAAAGTCCAGTGTTAACACGCTCTGGCTTCCTTGCTAAAGAACAGCCGGCATTGTTGATCTTCACTGTCAGTGAGGGAGCCAAACCTGACCTTGGTTCAGAAAATAGACCTGACTTCCTCCTTTCCTGGGACACGTCCCCAGCTCTGGAACTGTGTCTGGGTGACAGTCAGAGAGGACTGAGCTCTCCTGGGTAGGTGGAGGGGTGGGTAATTTCTCCACGACATCACATGTGTTTTTGTTCCCTTTTAGGGAATGGAATCTCAACCTTTCCTGAATATGAAGTTCGAGACGGATTACTTTGTAAAGATTGTCCCTTTTCCTTCCATTAAAAACGAAAGCAATTATCACCCTTTCTTTTTCAGAACCCGGGGTGAGTATGGCCTTTCCTGCCTGGTTCCCAGGGTGAGACTTCTGCTTTTAATTTTCAACAGATATGTGTTCAGGAGCCCACCAAGCACTGGTCTGAAACTAGCAAGTAGAGAAAAGCATCCAGAAAAGCAACTTGTAGAATGAAGATTTGGCCCAGGGTGCTGTTAGTCCTGTAGTAAAAATTAATTTAAAAAATAGGAATAAGAAGTATAAGTTGATTTGGGGGTAAAGCACGAAATGATTCCTCCTTTTATTTGTCATCAGGAGGATGGTGTCAGTGAGGAATTGCCTGTCATTTTCAGGATTAGGTTAAGAAAATTAAGCAGTATTCCTGAGATCGCCTCTTCCTAGGAATTTATTTATTCTTCCTCCTTCTTTATTTAGCATCTATGTGCTAGGCCCTGTTCTAAATGCTTTCCAAGTATTAACTTCGTTCACCTCCATGAAAACCCTACAAAGAACTTGGTCTTACCTTCTCAGTGATTAGATGTGGACTCACACACAGAGAGGTCAAAGGGCTTCCTGGAGCTGGGATCTGAACCCCAGCAGCCTGACTCTGGATCCCCGCCCTCAAAAGCTCTCACCACGCTGGGTTCCCTTTGCTGCCTGGCTGTCCTTTTCTGTCTGTTTTGCACACGGTGTCTCTCGTCTCCCTGTACCGCTGCTTTCAGGGACCCAGGCACCCTGAGAGCTGCAGCAGTTCTCTTGCCTTCCTGGTCAGTCTTTCTGTCTGGCATTCCAAGGTCAGTACGACCCGACATCCCCTGCTGTGTGGTCTGGCTGCTGTCCTCCTCCTCTGTGACGTTTTTATTGTCAACTTGAGTCTTCATCGGTGTTTCCCTTTGTGGAAGTCTTACTCTGGTTATTTTCTTATAGCCCCTCTTTCTTTTTTTTTAAACTCTGGTTGTTTCCTATGCAGCAAAGTTATTTTATAACAATCGGTCTCATTTTCTTAATTAAATAAGATTCCATGGGGAGAAGACCATTAGCACCTAACAGTATCTCTTGATGCCTTACACATAACAATCAGATAGAGGATTCAAAGCACATGTTCATGAAAAGCTTGCTGAAATCAAACCTAGAATAATTTAAGATTAATTTTTCCCATTGGAATCAGTCAGTGTGTCTTTTTGGATGTGAGGTGGAGGCAGGAGATGTGTTTACCACTATTTCAGTGTAGCGACCTTGAGGCAGCCTTGGGTTTTCTTGGAATTGTAGGGACCTTTTCCAGAGGGTTCTCCCTGGGTTAGCAACATGGCATATTGAACTAGCTGTTTGGCTTAGTTGAAATCATGTTTCGAAGCTACCGGCTTTGGTGCCTGGTTTTCAGCATGGGTACTATTCCTCAGTAGATGCCTGATGTCATTTTTAGACTCCATCAAAAGGATTTTAAATTAGAATGCTAGTGATGGTTAAAATACAGACAATTAAAATAGAGACAGGTAAGAGGCTCGCTTCCATCCCCTGTGCCCAAGCACCTCCACAGTGGGATGGGCCAGCGTCATTTCTGTTTACAGCTTAAACAGCCTCTGTGTGGCACTGGCATGAACACGTTCCTGCTGCCCTTGACCGCTGGCCTTGAAACTACGTAATGCTAGACAAGCTTTTAAAATCTGGGTGACTTGGTACTGTTCCCATTTATTTGGCATAAAGTGAACCGCGTTGATGTTTTTATATTGTACAATTTAAGTTTTCATAAGATACAACTGCACTATACTGAAAATCATTGTTGAATTGATGTTTTTAATATTCTTCCCAGCAACACCCAGTGCCAGATATTTATATTTATTGAATTGTTGGACAAGAAAAATGTCAAACTAAAACCAAAAATATGCCTCTCTCTTAATAGCCTGTGACCTGTTGTTACAGCCGGACAACCTGGCCTGTAAACCCTGTAAGTAGAGCTCTTCTTGTCTCCAAGTGTTGCCACCCCAGTGGTGTCAGGTGGCCTCGGGGTGCTCACTTCGGGTCCTTTCTCCTCCCAGTCTGGAAGCCTCGGAACCTGAATATCACCCAGCACGGTTCGGATATGCAGGTGTCCTTCGACCACGCACCACACACCTTTGGCTTCCGTTTCTTCTATCTTCATTACAAGCTCAAGCATGAGGGACCCTTCAAACGAAAGACCTGTAAACAGGTGAGCCCCTAGGTGTACATAGTGTAACACTGCATGTTTTAAAGTGACCTCTGACCCCAGCTGGCGTGGCTCAGTGGCTGAGCATCGACCCATGGACCAGGAGATTCTGGGTCAGGGCACGTGCCCAGGTTGGGGGCTCGATCCCCAGTAGGGGGCATGTAGGAGGCAGCCAATCAATGACTTTCTCTCATCATTGATGTTTTTCTCTCTCTCTCTCTCTGTCCCTTCCTCTCTCTGAAATTAATAAAAAAAACACACCAAAAACATATAAAGTGACCCCTGAGCCCCTGGAATTTGGATGGTTCAGCATGAGCATTAGGAGTTGTTGATTCTCAGCAGTCAGTAGATATTCCAGAATATTATCACTGATACGTCTCAGACCATCTTGCTGTCACTCCTCACTCCCCAGTTATCTACACCCCAGCTATCCTGGTGGTGATATAGCCTAGTAAAAGTATTACCAAGGAACCAAAATAAGTATTTCTGATTTGTTCTTCTATGTTAAAAACATTAATCAGGTGCTCACTGTATGGCAGTCACCAAGCTTTATGCTCTTCAAACCCTTACAACCCTGTGAAACAGAGGCTACTGTCATTTCCACTTTACAGATGGGGAGAACCGGAGGCTCAGGGAGGTCACCTGGCTTGCTCAAGGTCACACAGCTATAATGGAAACACTACCTGTAGAAGCCATGTCACTAGCATTTCAGTGGCTACTGATTTTACATGTAGGCCAAAGTTAATTAGAAACTCAGTAACCAAGTTCTTAAGCTGAAGACAGAGGGAGTGGGAAATGTTTTATGAAAGTTCACAGGACTACTAGGTCGCCCCCTGGGAGCACCAAGAGAGGCTTTTAGTGGTGGTGGAAGACCCCAGCATCTTCCTGGGCATGCTCCTGTGTGTGTTGTTTTGCTTTCCTGCTGGCTTTCACCTCCTTTGACCCTCTGCTAGCAAATAAAATAAACACAAACACAGGCGGGTAATTTCTTTCTGCACCTTTTTATTAAGTAAAGGGTATTCTAACTACATAGTTTCTTTGTTTTCAAATGAAATGTTCCTGCTGAGGGCACCACCAGCTAAGTGTATAATATGACAGGGGTCCCAGGCTCTCCTAGGCCTTTTATTAAAGTGAAGTTCAGATAACATGGCAGATAAACACAGTTGCTTTCTGATCTGATTCACATTTCCTGAAAACATGTTTGAGACCGGTGGCAAATCTTTAGTTCTGGGGGAAGAGAGGGGTTCTGATGACCTTTATCCAAGAAGCAAGTTTAAAAAGTATTGTTTCATTGCAGGAGCAAAATACAGAGACAACCAGCTGCCTCCTTCAAAATGTATCTCCAGGGGATTATATAATTGAGGTATGTATAACTCAAGAAAGCACTATTATTAATTCCACAGAATGAGTCCAGTTCATTTAGAATTCCAGCTGTTGACAACACTAAAATTTCAAGCCATTGAAGGTGTGCAGTTATGTTTTTACATGGTCCTTAACATGCTTTTAAAAGTTTATATGAAATTGATCTTTGATTTTTTTTTCATTAAATATTTCAAATAAATATTTTTATGTAACCATATAGTCCATATAACCATGATTTTAAAATTTCTATGTAGCATTCCTTCTTCCTTACAAAGGTATATTTTTAAAACCTTAGCTTCTAAAGAGTCTAGTTTTATTTATTTATTTTTTAATCCTTACGTGAGGATATTTTTTCCATTGATTATTTCAGAGAGAGTGGAAGGAGGAGAGAGAGAGAGAGAGACATTAATTGCTTGCTTCCCATACATGCCCGACCAGGGCCCGGTATCGAGCCTGCAAACGAGGTACATGCCCTTGGCCAGAACCGAATCTGGGACCCTTCAGTCCTCGGGCCGATGCTCTAACCACTGAGGAAAACTGTCTAGGGCTAAAAGTCTTGTTTTAGTGATAACCCAGCAAAGCAAAAGTTATGCCCATTACATCTGCCTGTACTTCTCTAGGTTTCTGCTGACATTCCTCTGCGTAAATTTACATGAGTCCTAAGTTCCACTTAAAAGAGCATGTAAATGGTATATATTTTTTCTTTTTGTAGATTTCTTTTCCAGTATCAAAAATACTACAGAAACGGGAGTAAAAGAAAAATAGAAAGAGAAATTAAAAAATTTGTCCATAGCCTTCCCACTCAGAGACAATTAACATGTCTTAACATTTTGGTAGAAACACCTAGTTCTTGCATTACTCTGTAGCAAGATGTGGTTTTGAACAGACACACCCTCGTAAAGCATTCATGGAGGCCCAGGAAAGTCAGCGGTAAGATGCCAGGTCAATTGAAAATTCTTAGAACGTGGAACTCGATGGCCGATTTTATCAATGAATAAACCACCTTTGGTTCATGAAGAGATCACGACTTTTGAGTTGGTAAAGCAGAGATGTGTCAGACCATTAATGCCTAGTCTCGGCCCGTAAGTGATCACAGGCAGCGGCCCCCCTTTCCCTCGCCCCATTCTCCTTCCTCCCGCCCCACCCTGCCCACAGACGACAAAAGAATGAAATCTGTTGAGATGCTATCACTTAAAAAAATAATACAGCGTCCTCTGTTTCGCAGCTGGTGGATGACACTAATACAACAAGAAAGGTGATGCATTATGCCTTAAAACCAGGTAAGAATTTTTTTGTTTGAAACGTTGGCTCCAGACTATAGCACACCAAGGTATCTGTACCTAATGGTTCACAAAAACAAAACACAACAAAACTTGAGCTCCTCTCTCTTGAAGGATGTTCCATCAAATGACTTTCCTCCTCCCTAATGTGGATGCCTGGAAGATCAAAGCCAGTGTGGTGTGTCTCTTCTGGAACTAAATAAATAGTCAATTGTCCTGGAAGAAAAGTGGAGGTGGGAGGGGGAGGTTTCCTTAGGCAAAATTCTCACTGAAAAGTATTTACAGTTAGCAGACTAACTGCTGAATTGTCTCTTCAAAATGAATCCTTTTAAAATTACCAAACGAGTACTAGAGAAAGGTGGTCAGAGGGGTCCTAGAACCTGTTATATGGCTTACACTGGAAAAAAAAAAAATTCTCTTTGAAGCTGTTATGCTGCTTAAGTTTAAAAGCCTTCCCTTTGAAATTTCCCAGTGCATTCCCCGTGGGCTGGGCCTATCAGAGCCGTTGCCATCACTGTGCCGCTGGTGGTCATATCGGCATTCGCCACACTCTTCACTGTGATGTGCCGCAAGAAGCAACAAGGTATGTGTGTGGTATTTCCTTGCCAAGGGGCAGGACCGGAGTGCTTGGTCCCTCCAGGTGGGCATCTGGGAGGCCACATAGCTCCTTGTAGTCAGTTTCCTGGCTTCTGTACTTCCTAGAATTAAAATTAAAATTAACTCAGGAGCCACTAAAAGGACAGGCGTACTTCTGTTCTCAAACTTGGGATAGTAAATTCAAGAGCATCAGGGAAGTATAAAGGCATGAGTCAGGATAAAGGTAGGGTTTGATCCACTTATAAAAGCCAGGTGTCAGGAGGGAACCTTCTGGGGAGTTGGAAATGTCCTGTATTTTTATCTGAATGGTGGTTACATAGGTACACACTTAGATAATAATTTGAGATACACTCTTAAGATTTATGCATTTTACCTTGTAAATTATACCTCAATAAAAAAGTGTCTTTGAAAAAGGTGTGCTCTGCCAGTGCTAATTTGTCCAGTAGGTGCGTTCAGGGTTGCAAGAGTTGGTTCTGGATGCTCTCTGCTGACTAGGGTGGTTCCTAAAGTGTTCTTGGCTTTCTCAAGGTCAGTTTTAGGTGAAGAGCAAAGTTTGGCCATTTGTTGCTCCACTGGATGTGACCCAAGGGGCTGGTGGAGCTGGGGAATTGGGAGTGCTCTTTGTGGACATGTCACCTTTTGTTTCTTGAAGATAACAATAGGTCCCCAGTCTTAGGGAACAGGACCAAGCATTGCTCATAGCTGTCAATCCTATCTTCTTTTCCAATTTAGAAAATATATATTCACATTTAGATGAGGAGAGTTCTGAGTCCTCCACCTACACCACAGCACTCCCCAGAGAGAGGCTCTGGCCGCGGCCGAAGGTCTTCCTCTGCTATTCCAGTAAAGATGGCCAGAATCACATGAACGTTGTCCAGTGTTTTGCCTACTTCCTCCAGGACTTCTGTGGCTGTGAGGTAAGGAATCTAAAGTCTCTTCTGTTTAGTGGGGCACATGCTCTGCACCCTCTCCTGGCCACCTGTCCCTGCCTCCAGGCCTCCTTCTGTGACACCTGCCCTCCGGTAGTGCCTGGCTTCCAAATTGGGGTCAGCCTGGAACTCTTCTTTCAGTCTGTTCTGCTCATCACTAGCACTAAATGTTTTCTAATACTCAGTTCTGTCCCAACCAAACACTCCTGCTCGGAAGCCTTGAGTGGCACCCACTTGGCAGGAAGTAGCAGGGGGGGAAATGGCAGCTGCCCTGGGAGTACTTAGTGGGGGTGGGGAGAGGAGGTCACTCGACATATCCTGGTGAGCATCAGAGGGTCAAAGGAAGAATACAAGTAAAGTAGCAGGTTTGACAGTTCTTTGGAGGAGCTTTGCTAAGAAGGGAAAAATAATCATCAAGTTGCTTAAATTGGTCTGCTCTGGTTTCTTACCTGTTCTTTTGAGTTAAGCTACCCATTTGTAGCTTTTCTGTATTATAGTGTTAATTTTAGAATGAAGTCTAAAGCTCTCATGGAGAACACACTGTTTCTTACAACTGCAAGAATAGTATCATAATTATGTAGTTGGGTTATTTGTCCATGCTGGTAGGTTTCTCAGAATCTCTCCATGTGGTGAGGCTGCCCCCTAGTGTCAAAAAACGTGCTTTACAAGGCTGGCCCGGTTTCCCAGTGCAGGAAGGTGGAGAAGTTGGCAGATTAGCACATATGCTGAAAAACAGCAGCAAACTTTAGTCTGTGCTGCATGCTGTCTTCAGATACAGACAACCCCAATTATGTGTGTAATACTGTAGAAAATTTGGAAACTAGAAAAATATGACAAAAAAATGGCCTGTAATCTCAACTTGGGGAAAAGAGGGCCCATGGTTAATATTTGGTGTATTTCCTTCCAGCCTCTTTCTGCATAGATGAAGTCATACATACAGTTTTGCATTTTGGGTAGTAGCTTGGAATTATTTTTTCTGTCTCTTTAATAGCTTTTTACATAATTAGCAGTTTTCTGTAAACTGCAATTTTAAATAACCACTTGATCCATAATGTTATTTCAAATTGTTAAACATCTCAGGAGTTCAGTGTGGCCTCATTTCTGATGATTTTCCAAAGACAAATGCCTGGAAGTGGAATTGCTGGATCAAAGATAGGAACATTTAAAAAAATACTTGGTATATAATCCATTTTGTGTTTTTTTCCATTGATACATATTTTTTAATCCTCACCGGAGGATATTTTTTCCATTGCTTTTCAGAGAGAGAGAGAGACATCAATATGAGAGACATCAATTGGTTGCCTCCTGCATATGCCCTGACAAGGGCCGGGGATTGAGCCTAGGTACATTGTCCTTGACCAAAAAGTGAACCTGAGATGCCAACGCTTTAGCCACTGAGCCACACTGGCCAGGGCTAATCCCAGTTATTTATTAGAATTTATAACGTTTAGAAGAATTAGGGCAAGTGTAAGACAATTCAGGATTTTTTCAGCAAGTGGATAGATGTTAGGGGTTTCTTCCCTTTGATAACACCATAGAGCAGAAGAGAAAGACAGTCATTTCAGGTCCCCTTTCCCCTTAACAGGCTGTGGCTGCTGTGTTCAGGCATGGCCATTGGGAATTAGGTTCTGAACTACAGAAGGGAAGAGAAAGATACAACTGCCGAGAGATGATTTCAGCAGAATCAGACGAAAATGGTCTGAGAAGGTGAAGCCCTCTGAGGGGGCCTGGTTTTCCTCCCCCACCCCCAAATTCCCTACCAGATTCCTCTTGGGGTTAAAAGCCTTGTATGGATGTGACCATGTAGACCACTGTGACGTTATGGTGGAAAGTGCCCGTCACTCCCCAGTGAGTTAACCAGAATGGCCATGTTACTGCAGTTTACCACCCTCCTCTCCTGACCAATGGTAAACACCATGGTTTTGAGAGTGGCTGGGGGGGAGGGGGCATTTGTCAGTCACTTTCTCTGGACATGAGTCATCCAGCATTGTGGGTGACTCTGGCATCCATACCTGGGCCTTTCTCAACCCACTTTGGGGTCCCTCTATTATCACCTTCCAACTTTCTCTCTGGGACCTGCCCCCCATGTAGGCAGCCTCACTCATCAGACAGACCAACCCCAGTGCCCCCATTTTCCATGCTCTGCACCACACTCTTAAGCCCCTTGAGCGCCTCACGTGCAGTATGTAACTTGGGCAGGTTGCTAGAAGCTCTGTGCTTCCGTCTTTTCACCTGTAGGACAGGAGTGGTAACGATCCCCCATTATGCTAAAATGAGGGCATGATGCAGAGGGTCTGGTGTGTGACTGTCACCCATGGAATGTTAGCTGTTCCTTGGAGCCAGGTAACCACGGAGCTGCTAATAATGATTCAGGGAGAGAGAATGTGCCCTCCTTGTAACATTCCCATTCCTGCTGGACACTCCAGGCTGTCTGAGTCCGGGTCCTGTTCTCTTTCCAGGTGGCTCTGGACCTGTGGGAAGACTTCAGCCTCTGCAGAGAAGGGCAGAGAGAATGGGTCATCCAGAAGATCCACGAGTCCCAGTTCATCATCGTGGTCTGTTCCAAAGGCATGAAGTACTTTGTGGACAAGAAGAACTACAAGCACAAAGGAGGCGGCCGAGGCCCGGGGCAGGGGGAGCTCTTCCTGGTGGCCGTGGCCGCCATCGCCGAGAAGCTGCGCCAGGCCAAGCAGAGCTCCTCGGCGGCGCTCAGCAAGTTCATCGCCGTCTACTTCGACTACTCCTGCGAGGGAGACGTTCCCGGCGTCCTGGACCTGAGCACCAAGTACAAGCTCATGGACAACCTCCCCCAGCTCTGCTCCCACCTGCACTCGCGAGACCACAGCGCCCGGGAGCCCGGGCCGCACCCCGGAAACGTCAGCCGCAGGAACTACTTCCGGAGCAAGTCGGGCCGGTCGCTGTACGTCGCCATCTGCAACATGCACCAGTTTATCGACGAGGAGCCCGACTGGTTTGAGAAGCAGTTCGTTTCCTCCCACCCTCCCCCGCCCCGCGCCCGGGAGCCGGTCCTGGAG